AAATTATCGACCTGCATCTGCATATCCAGTAAACTTTGGAATCAATACTAAACCGCCTCCTGGTTATAGTCCCGCACATTGTTCAATGGTGAGTGATTCACTTATATTCAGAGTGACCAGCTTAGGATTTATGAGATAATGTAGTTGGAAGATGTGCACATACTATTTTGGAAACTGGAGTTTTGGCTTATATCAAACCGATTGTTTTAGATGTATCCACGTCAACACATCCAACCAACTGTGTTACCTTCGCATAACATCCCACCAATACACCCAAATATGCCCCTATTTTTGGGATACAGACAACATATGCATGCGGCACCGATAAGTATAAATAATGAGCACGATTTTTATGCTATATATAATCAACAGTTTTATAACGGGAACTGATTATATATTTCTGTCATAATTCGGCCAGTGCACAGTCGAATAACGTTGTACTAAATGTAACAATCTTATCAGAAAATGCTGTCCTGATGTTTTTCGTTACCAAAAGAATTTTATTAACGCTTTATTTTAAGAATAGTTAGTGTACATTTCGTTTGAAAATTGCCGGTTTTTGTGGATATAACGCTTTGAGGGGGATTTTTCCTGTAAGTATTATATGACAATTAAAATTATTTCTTAGGTTCATAAATAATGTAAGAGATGTCCAATTTTTTAAGTTTATTAGTTAATTAAAAGTTTTCGTACATCTATAAATTTACTGAAAGAGTTGTCCTTAGGTGAAAAAACTGAAATTCTAATAGTCTCTTTAACTAGCAAAAAACGAACTTAACTAAAAAATTTCATTGACAAAAGATTAAGGTAATAAAGCAACTCCTATTCAGGCAAACAGTGGTTTTACAACACCGTTCCTGATGAATTTATCATAAAGAAGGGTCCCGATTCTCTCGTATAAATCCACAGTTAAAGGATTCCTGCTGACGAGTTTCACATGCACATACTTCCTGTCAAATGTGCGCAACAGCTGAAAGCAGAAAAGTTATACGTTTATTAAAACTTGTACCATGTAAGAATAATGCATTATGAGAGTGAGAAAATGTCAACAATTAAACAATCCATCATTCCGCGAATAACATGATATTCGATTGTTTTATTGTACTATTTTCTTAAGTGTGTTAAACGAAAGTTTCAGTAAATAATAAAATTGGTTTGGAAAACAGATTACAGCTCTTTCAGGAATCTGAAATTTTGGACAGATTAAAAAATTGAGTGAAAATATATCGAAATCTTATTTGAAACGAAACGAAAAATTTCAATCATTTTTCTTAAAATCACTTCAGAATAAATAGTAAAAAAAGTAGAGTAAAACAATTGAGTTTCTAACACACACTCAGTGAGTAAATTTTAATTTATTAATTTCTCTTATCACTGGATTAAAATTTTTCGTATCTCTGTTTATTCAGGGAATCCACTTTCCATAGCAGAAACTTTAGAGAAACCGGGAAACAATATTCCTTGATAAACCACTTTAAGATATTTGAATGAAATTTAGTCGGCATTAATGCCATCCAAGGAGCAGGTGTCGAAATAACAGTAATTTTTTATTTGCCCTTAGAGGCAGGATCTTTTTAAGAAATTTCAACTGCGTTTTATACAATAAAATTACGTTTTTATATTTCATTTAGTTTGGAAGAAAAAGCTCGAATTAGTTATATCCGTGCCATAAATGGAAACGGACATTCTGTTGATAAAGCATTTCTGTACCTTTTTTTCTATAAGTAACCCGATTTGCCCGCACTCTCTATTCTCTGTCAAGCCTTCAGCACGCGAAATCTTGTACGTCAAAATAAAAACTTTCGTTTTTAAAAAGGACATTTTCAATTGGAAATCTATAATTAATTGGATTTTTCTTTCCATCATACTGTTTTCGAGTAAAAAATGTCACCTATTGTTGGGCAAAAGGTTGAAATACTAGAAGAATCGTCGATTTTTTGTTTAAAAACACAGCTGAATCGTCGCCACTGGCAATATAAAAATGTTTGTTTTATTTCAAAACGTGCTCGGTTGATAGCAATCAATGTCCACTAAATTTCAATCATACATAGTAGACGTTAAAAAATTGATTAAAGCCAATCTTGAACAACCTGTATTTTTGCAACGCATAATCTTTCGATTATACGGCTTAATCGTTAATTCGAAATCGACATTTGGCACATGGATGCGGTTTAGTCAAAAACACAACTCTGTACTTGCCTTCGTAATGTTTGTTACATCTGTATCCTTAATTGAAACGATATTCAGATTAACTTCCCAGCATAGCTGATGTAACTCCATGTCTTTGGCTCGAATACATTTAATTCGCTCTTTGGATGCGGTCTCGTAATTACCGTAGTCTACAAATAGTAGTTCTGCGACATCCGGATCCTCCGATTTAAAGTCTACAATTTTGGCTCTATACCATTCTTTGTCTTCGGAGAATTGCCCTAAGCAAGGCTTTCCAATCGCAAAATCTAAAACGAATCAATTTTTAAGTTTTTAAAGTAGTTTAAATAAAAATCCTGGGATCAAATAAATGACCGAATATTTTGCAGGTTGAAATTAAATTTTATAAGTATATTTTATAAATATATACAGCGTTTTACATGGTTACAACCAACAAGAAACTTAAAATCCATAACTAACTACATCATTGTGAAGCAACAAACAAAATTGAAGGTCAATGATGAACGCGTCATGAGGAGACCAGAATGTGGCACATACGGTGCTCTTACGGTAAAAAATATACTTTCCTTTTAAAAACAATGCTCAGCAAACAAATGCTCAACAGCAAAGCGATAAAAGATATCATAAAACAGTAAGATACAACATTAAAGGACTGGTAGATGATTCAACTAAATTCTTATACCCAACCCACCCTAGCAAGCAAAGTTATAAAAATTCAAAAGGGATCATCGGATGCTAGGTACGAAGGTTTGACAAGCACTTGGAGAATAGGGTGTTTTCACTTTTTTTTAATGTTGATATATAGAAAGTAGTTATGGCAAACATTTCACTGATATAATTTTTTTTGCAAAAAAGTCCATAATAATTTAAAAGCGAATTTAAATTCAAATCAGATATTTTCCGGCAAAAACGCCGAATCGGTTGCCTACCCGATTGTGACGTAGCAGGTCATATCAACAAAGTGTCTTGTGTTTATTTTGTTGTTTCGCAGCTTTGTTTTATTATATAAGTTATTGTGATTATGATTATTATCGTGCATAATGGAAAATAGTGACATGCATGGATCACAAAATAAGTGGTGTTTTGTGCCAGGATGCCTCAATAAGTGCTCTAAACAAACTCTTTTATGGTTCAAAGCAGCTAGACGTGATGTTCCTAAATCAAAATCAATGTTTTTTTGTTGCGAGGATCATTTTAATGAAAGTGCGAATAAAAAGCTAATGATGAGGCAGATAGAATATGCCTTCGATCGTACTCTGTGTTCTGGGCAAATTCTACCTTGTACAGTGCACAAAGAACCCTCACGTTTCAATTCCACATATCCGATATCACCATATTGTTCTCGTTATGCCCAAAGTACAAATGTAAGAGTTCATTTTACTTTTAAAGCAGTCATGTGTATAGGTTAGGTTAAGTTGAATAA